CCAAAATGCTTAAAATTAAGCTCCTTCAAAGCACCCTTAAGTTTGCTCAATTTCTTGCAAAGGATAAATTGTTTCGTCCCTCGTAAGTAAAAATTCCAGCAAGCTCGAATCAAATCATTGAAGTCCTCATGCTTGGTCCACATGTTAAAAAACTTAAAAGATCTTTTTGCACTATCAACACGGTCATGTATAGAGACAATGTAAGGGGAATGGTCGGAAAGGTATCCGGAAGGTAGGAAATTTGCATCAACATATGCTCCATTTTGCACCCGAATATCATTGACCATTGTTCTATCAATTTTGCTCCAAACCGAACCATTAGTCCACATGTAATAACAACCAATGGAGCGCACATTCGTAAAACCCGCATGAAGGCAAAAATTTGCAAGATCTTTAATTTCATAAGGGGTAACATCCGCCCCATTGCATTTCTCATCAAATTTAAGAACATTGTTATAGTCACCAAAAATCAATCAAGGCAACGACACATTTGCATTAAACTCCATAACGATATTTCAAAGTGGCCTTCGGTTAACCATAGTATGAAATCCATAAACAAAACTCACAAGAAAAGTAAAAGAAGTTGCCTTGCAATTAGCTTTACAATGGATAATTTGTGGATGAACCTCTATCACATCCAAAAAAACCTTGGATGGATTCCACAAAATTAAGATCCTTCCGGCTCTATGCGTGCAAAAATTATTTACTTGCATGAAGCAATCAAATTTATTCAGCAAAATCCTCTTCAATTTTCGGTTCTCCAATTTTGTTTCCAAAATTTCCATAATATCAATGCAATGTTGCTTGATAAACTCCCGAATCTCATTTTGTTTAAGGGGTGGATTTATACCCTTAATGTTTCAAGAAGCGATCTTCATGATGTTGAAGCAAGGGATGTTCCCTTCTTCTCGTCAATTTTTGATCCCGACTTCTTTTTCTCCTCGACTTTGCCTTGGACACCCATCAAAGATTTTTTTCGCTCCAACAGCCTTGTTTTTCTTGCTAATAACCTTCACAAACGGGGCCCCTACCTGGTCGAAATTTTCCACTTGCTAGCTGTCCACATTTTCAGTAGCTAACTGCCTAGAATTTTGATTTGTAAGCACCCGTTTCTGCCCATCCAAAGTCCCGGACTGTTCTACCCAAGTTTGTTGCTCATTACAAGTTGCCTCAACAAGAGAATTCTGGGAATTAGATGCTATTTTTCTAGCTTGCACAAATATTCGTTGGGCAGTCCCCGTGGCTCTTCCTTTTCCTTTCTCCCCACTGGTATGTTTATTGTTGCATCCAATAGTCAAGTGACCAAATACTTTGCAAGAACCACAAAATTTTTGTTCATGCTCGAAAACAATTTTTTGTTCTCTCAACGTGCCATTAGGAAGTCTAATCTTCACCTCCCTCACAAGTTCAATGGAAGCATCAACTTCGGCTAAAGCTCTCACAAAGGATAGTCGACCTCTAGTAGCTATGACTTTGTTGGTTGATATAGGTTTCCCAACCTTTGAGAGAATTTTACCCAAGGCACTCGTGTTCCAAAATTCCAAAGGTAAACCCAATAAGTTTATCCATACCGGCATAGTGCTCACATCTTTATCATTGAAATTAAAATAGCGTGGCATAATTTTAAGCATTAACGGTCTTCCGTAAACCAAGTATGGGCCCCCATGCAAAACATTTAATCCATCCACATCTGTTTCAAACTTGAACACCAACCAACCACTAGCATGCACAAAATATTTGTAATCCACCTTCCACGAGTCACATAGTTGGAGGAGAGCCACTTTCCCCGAAAACCAATCGGCGAAATATCCAACAAGTCCGTATCCCCAAGAATTCTCAATATTGTCTTCATCCAATTCATTTAAGACAACTTCATCCAATTGATTTTCGTAGGGCTTAATCTTAATATTTTCCTCCATCTTCCTATTGTCTTTGAAGAAGTTTACTCATGGAGATTCAAAGCCTGTTTGGGAGTGATTTTTTTCCTAAAAAATTGATTTTTTGACCGTTATTTCACTATTAAAGCCGTCATATTTGACTTTTTCTCTCACACGTGGACCCCACTTTTCTCCTAACGGTCCAAAAAACAATTCTCAAAATTACTCCCAAGTAGGCTCTTAGTGTCTTTCACACCCTCAATCCCAGCACTATTAACCTCTTTTTGGTTCTTTAATTCAACTGTCTTTGACTGAAATGCAAAACTTTCAGATTCCGTGTCCTCGTCTCCAAGTGTTTGGGACTCACTTGGAGACTCATAAGCTGCCTTGTGTGGTACCTTCAAAGGGGGGATTATCTCCTTAGCCATGGACGGATCACAAGGGGCCAACGACAATACCTTAACTGGTCCAGTAGAATTTTCCTGGGAATTAATGTGGCTTACCTGGGAGTGGATGTTAGAGGGCTGCTTGGATAAGAGCCCACTCTTATGGCCGGATTTCTTTCCCATAACCAATCAGTAACAAAACAGCCCAACAAGGGGGAGGGAAGCAGCCCACGAGGAAATGAAACAGCCCAAGGCCGAATAAAAACCAAGAAAGACCAGCCGAAATCGAGAGACAGAAGATGGCGAAGGCCTCATAAGCATACTATCTGACAAAGAAACAAGAATATTAAACGTGGCAACAATTGTTGAGCTCGTTATTTTTAAGAAGCACTCTATCACATCCCTTTCAACATCTAGGGATAGTAAATTCCTAGTCCTCAACCTTAGTAGCCAATAGATTAATGTCTGGGATATTGCTGGAATAGGGTGAAACCATTTCAATACGTGGGCCACATGCAACAGAACTATGTAATATGGTCCTCCTTTTGGTGGAAGTCTCAAATTAATGCATCTATGGTATGAAATTTTATTTATTGTTTTCAAGGACTATTAGGCATTAACAATATCATATCTTACCGTAAAAGGTTTGACATCGATCCATATATGCATAGAGTCACATGTATAGGGATAGATCTAGTCCTATGACAAAAGAGATCCTTGCCACACGGGGGCAAATGGAGAAAGTAGTTAAAATCTAAAGGATAATTAGCACATAAGTCCTTAGCTTTTACTATTATTGTGAAAAACGTCATTATCTTTTTTTTCTTTTTTCTTTTTTTTGCTTTCACCTTTATAATTTTATTTCCACTTTTCATTGCTCAAAAGGTAATTTTTATCAATTTTCTCAATTAAAAGATGTGAATGATAAATATACTTTTTGTTTAAATTTTTTTTTTTTAAAAAAAAAATCTTCATTAGCACATAATATCCCTACCTTTTGAAAGGTAGGTCAACTAACGATTTTATAGACGATTTTTGTCAAGTTGGACTTCAGCTGCATATTTACGAAAGATTTGGGACCTTCGCTGGCACAAATTGAAGGTCAAGATAAAATCTGCAAAAATTGAAAATGTTAGGAATTGTTGTTACAATTTTCCCATTGTTTTTTGGAAACATGAAAGTCTTTAAATTTTGGGATGCGGAAACAGGCACATGTAAACACCCATTCGACGATTATGGTTTCATTGTCCGCTGGTGTGCTTGGTTTCTTGAGTCTAAGCGCATTGCCTATGGCAGCTCAATTCCTGAAATTAAGGGCATTTATATGTGGGACTGTGATGATAATGAAATTAGGAAAAAGATATGTGTACACAACATATTACCGAATCTGATACAAAATGCTGACATGTCATATTTGCAGTCAAAATACCGGCAGCTATTCAAAATCAAATTATCAATAAAATCTCGCCACATCCTCTCACAAAATAATTTGAATAAACCCCCAAATTGGGCGGATCCACTATTTCCTAAATCAAATCCTCTTCCCTTCAACTCCTCTCTCACGATCTGCAACTCCAACTAAAGAAATCTTGTCGGCACATCTACCGCCAATGAAGAAGAGAGAAGTCGTCTGGGACACAGCCCGGCACATCTTCCGTTTCGTGTGTGAGAGACATCGAGGGCGCTAATTCCTTCTCGTGCACCGTCGCAACTGTGACGGAGGTGAAAGGGGATTATGATCCTTTTTTTATGAAGGAGGTGGGTGTTATGTTTTAATATTCCCTGGAAAAGCATCCATTCTAAATTTCTAATATGTTGTGAATGTGTAGATGGATCTCCCGCTACTCAAAGAAGAGGTCGAGTTGGTAGAGGACGGGGGAGGTCTGGAGCTACATCTGGTGGTGATTCTGGTTGGTTTTTACCCCCAAATTCCTTTTGATGAGTTATCAACCATTAATGGTCTCTGGTTGCAATGCTTTACTGAGAAACCTATTTGATTGTGTTTTATTGAGAAATATTTGGTCTCTAGTTGCACTGCTTTACTGAGAAAAAATTGTAGAAAAGCTTTGGGCTTTAGTTGCTATTTTGAAAAATCAATGAGTATAATTGTTGAACTCTATTTTGAACAAAGTGGGTTTGGACAAATTATACTGCTTGAGTTTAGCTTGTTGAAGTTGTGGAATGGATTTTTTGTGTGTACATTTATAATGCTTGAGGTAGAGGAATGCTTCATGTTAGGACTTCATACAAGTTCTCGGTTTTTCTTGAATCTGTTTGGTAGTTTTGTAAATACAGCAAGAATAATGTATGTTTCGGGTTTTGACGTCTTTTTATGAACTTCTTCATGAAATTATCTAAACGATTGAGTACTGTTTGGCAATGTAGGTTTTTCAAGTTTTCTAAAGTTTTGCCCGACAAGGAGTATCCATTGCAAGGTGAATCAAGTGGCACTACCAAGAGAAATGAACCCGTTGACAACTTGTCCCATATGTTGAAGTGAGCAGAAGCTCTTGGAATGGGTAAAACCGCATTTATCCGATACTAAGAAGTTTCAGTTGATATTGGATCGGAAGCTTCAAGGGAAGCATGTGCCTAGTAGCCAATCGTTGCTTGGCCAGACTCTTGTTGCCAATAGTTAGCTAGAATAGAGGTTGCAATGGATGTCACGGGGACAAGAAAAGCTTGTCCTATATATTATTATCTGTAAACATAAAAAATCTTGACTGGATTGTTAGAAAGACAACTATGTTAATGTCCATTTAGATTTTAGTTAAATTTTTGTGTGATATCATGTAATGGATGACCTTGACTTATTGTAATTATTTAGTGTAATGAATAAGTCATGGCAGCCGGCAACTCCCACGCCGACAACTGCGACGCCGGCGACAACACGAGTAAGATGTTTTCAGCTGAAGCTTTAATTCATTGAAGTTGATAGGAAACAGAAATACGTAGTTTACTGCCACAAGAGTAAATTTTTTTTTTTTTTTTGTTGAAGCTATTATTTTCTGTATTATGTAGTTTATTCAAAGCTAATATATTAAAATAAATGCATTTAATTGATTTACCTGAAGAGTTAATTTTTTTGTTTTGCTGAAGCTATTATTTTCTGCGTAATGTAGTTTGTTCAAAGCCAATATATTAAAATAAATGCATTTAATTGAATTGCCTGAAGATTTATTATTATTTTTATTTTTACTGAAGCTATTATTTTCTGCATTGTGTAGTTTGTTAAAGGCCAATATATTAAAATAAATGCATTTAATTAATGAAATCAATTAAAGCCCTTACTAATTGTTGTTGGATTCTGTTTCGGTTAATTTGAGAGGGAAAAGATGAAGTTGTTTAGAGACCAAACATTTATTGTTACCCAATTTTATGTCTTCTCATATGTGAATATTTGTCCTAAATGCAGGTTATTTGGAAATTCATTCATCCGAAGACGACAATCCGATTGATATGAGTTTAGGAGAAGGAACTAATATTATTGTGCCCAAGGTTGGAATGAAGTTTCAAGATGAAAATGAGGTGTTCGAATTTTACAAGAACTATGCGTACCAAATCGGTTTTCCGGTGAGAAAAAGGTCTTCAAGGAAAGATGATGACGGCGTTGTACGTTATGTAACTTTTACATGTAGTCGGGAGGGTTGTCGACTCAGTGGTACAAATGCAATTATGAAGCCTCAACCAACAATGCAAACAGGCTGTAAAGCGAGATTGACGGCGTGTTCAGAACTTAATGGCATATGGCGTATTAACACTATTAATCTGGAGCATAATCACAAAACAAGCCCATCAAAATCAAGACTATATCGATGCAATCGAGAAATAAATGCACGCGTAAGAAGACGACTTGAAATAAATGACGTAGCTGGTATACCATTACATAAGAGCTTTAACTCAGCCGTAGTTGAAGCCGGTGGTTATGACAAGATTACATGTGTTGAGAAAGATTGTAGAAATTTCATTGAGAAAGTTCGACGATTACGACTTGGTGAAGGAGACGCTGTTGCAATACAAGCGTATTTTTCAAAGATGCAAGCAACCAGTCCTGGTTTCTTCTTTAATATAGACTTGGATGACGAGGCCCGGCTGAGGAACGTGTTTTGGGCAGATAATAGATGCAGGCAAGCGTGTAAGGAATTTGGAGACGTAGTTACGTTTGACACCACATACTTGACAAACAAGTACGAAATGCCTTTCGCCCCTTTTGTTGGGGTGAACCATCATGGACAATCAACTCTACTTGGATGTGGTTTGATCTCAAATGAAGATACAAGGACTTTTGTATGGCTATTCAGGACATGGCTTCAATGTATGCATGATCAAGCTCCAAGTGGAATAATTACAGATCAAGATCGTGCTATGCAGAAAGCAATTGAAATTGTGTTTCCGAACACAAAGCATAGATGGTGCCTGTGGCATATTTTAAAAAAGTTACCAGAAAAATTCGGCGGCCATGGATACAAAGCTTCTATTCTTGCTACTGTGCATGGGTTGGTATATGATGTGCAAAGTTGTGAGGAATTCGAACAAGGTTGGAATAAGATGCTCGAAGATTACGAACTACTAGAATATACTTGGTTGACTGGTCTTTACAATGAAAGAAGTCGATGGGTTCCATGCTTTTCGAAAACTTCATTTTGGGCGGGTATGTCAACCACACAACGAAGTGAGGGTATTAATGCATTTTTTGATGGCTATGTTCATTCAAAAACATCCCTCAAGCAATTTGTGGAGCAATATGAGCGTGCATTAAGAAGTAAAATTGAAAAAGAGTTTCAAGCCGACTTCAAATCATTTTCACACATGGTCCCATGTGCAACCAAGTACGAAATGGAGAAGCAATTTCAATCCGTTTACACAATCGCGAAGTTCAAGGAGTTCCAAGAACAGTTCACCGGAAAGGTATATTGTGAAGTCTTATCCGTTCATGATTCTTACTTGTATACTATATACGATGTACGTGAGGACATCATTATCAATGAATGTATGAGGCCGAAAATGTTTAAAGTGTGCTTTCCTAGAGATGAATGTGATTTCGAATGTAGTTGTCATTTATTTGAGTTTCGAGGAATTATTTGTAAGCATGCGATTGCAGTTTTGATACGAAATCAAGTGAAATTAGTTCCCGATAAGTACATTTTGAAGAGATGGAGGAGGGATGTGAACAGACCGTACATGAGGGTTTCGATCAATTACCATGGTTGGATTAGTACAATGTGCAATGCTTTTACGAAATTAGCTGACTTGGTAGCACATGACGAGTCACGATCACATGAAATTATGGACTGGATTGAATTCCAAACAGCGGAGTCGTCGATGTTGAAGTCTATGACTGTGGGCTTCCAAAGCTTTGATGAAGCAGGAAAAATTGTTGGCGAAATCATCTTGGACCCGAAACACACGAAAAGTAAGGGAGCTCCTAAAAAACTTCGCCGAAAAGGATATTTAGAAGTTGGTTCTAAAAAATCAAGAACTGGTCATAAGGTATGATTTTTAGCCAATTTATTATATATATATAATCGCTGTACATTGAAACTGATTGTTTTTTCCCCTGGCACATAGGTGGCAACAAACTCAAGTACATCGAAAAGGCAGAAAGGCAAAGTTTCACCCCCCATCAATGTTCAGGTATTTGAGTGTGACAAAATATGAGCCAACTTCATTGAGTTTTCATGCAAAATCTTTGAACATGACTTTATCAATTCCATTTGTCAGGATATTCGGCTAACAACCACTTTCCCTTCCCATCAAGTCGGCACACAGGAGAGCGTTGGCGAATTTGATTTAGGGGTCTAAAGCATCCACAGATATTTGGCTATAGATTTTTGTAAACAATTAACTGACATGCTCCACTTGGGTGATTTTGATATAGGGGTCTAAAGCATCTAGAAAAAGTTGGTTGTATATTTTTGTAAACAGTTAACCGACATGTTTTGATTTTGGGCGGAAATATGTTCTAATTTATACATTTTGTATAGATGGCTAATTGGAGTGTTTCAGGTGGTGGTTAGTTGGGGGCTTACTATGTAGACACTTTCTATATACTTAATTAAGCTGGCTCTCATTTAATGCATTTCTGTTGTCATATTATGATGCTATTTGGTGAATTTTAGTGCTAGTGTTTGCCCATTTTCAAAACCTATTTAAAAAATGGAAAAACAACTCTAAAATAATGAAGGAGACGTGAATTTTAGTGCTAGTGTTTTTTTGACCGCGTGGTTTCTTCTTCCTGCCAGTTTCGATCTCCAGCTTGCTTCAGTTATCGAGCTGCCCAGATTTATTCTTTTGGTTGTTGTTTAACTTCTGTTGTTCCAACTTGCTTTCCAACATGCAACTCCCGGGTTCATTTCTCTTGGTAGTGCCACTTGATTCACCTTGCAATGGATACTCCTTGTCGGGCAAAACTTTAGAAAACTTGAAAAACCTACATTGCCAAACAGTACTCAATCGTTTAGATAATTTCATGAAGAAGTTCATAAAAAGACGTCAAAACCCGAAACATACATTATTCTTGCTGTATTTACAAAACTACCAAACAGATTCAAGAAAAACCGAGAACTTGTATGAAGTCCTAACATGAAGCATTCCTCTACCTCAAGCATTATAAATGTACACACAAAAAATCCATTCCACAACTTCAACAAGCTAAACTCAAGCAGTATAATTTGTCCAAACCCACTTTGTTCAAAATAGAGTTCAACAATTATACTCATTGATTTTTCAAAATAGCAACTAAAGCCCAAAGCTTTTCTACAATTTTTTCTCAGTAAAGCAGTGCAACTAGAGACCAAATATTTCTCAATAAAACACAATCAAATAGGTTTCTCAGTAAAGCATTGCAACCAGAGACCATTAATGGTTGATAACTCATCAAAAGGAATTTGGGGGTAAAAACCAACCAGAATCACCACCAGATGTGGCTCCAGACCTCCCCCGTCCTCTGCCAACTCGACCTCTTCTTTGAGTAGCGGGAGATCCATCTACACATTCACAACATATTAGAAATTTAGAATGAATGCTTTTCCAGGGAATATTAAAATAAGTACAGGGATTGTAAAACATAACACCCACCTCCTTCATAAAAAAAGGATCATAATCCCCTTTCACCTCCGTCACAGTTGCGACGGTGCACGAGAAGGAATTAGCGCCCTCGATGTCTCTCACACACGAAACGGAAGATGTGCCGGGCTGTGTCCCAGACGACTTCTCTCTTCTTCATTGGCGGTAGATGTGCCGACAAGATTTCTTTAGTTGGAGTTGCAGATCGTGAGAGAGGAGTTGAAGGGAAGAGGATTTGATTTAGGAAATAGTGGATCCGCCCAATTTGGGGGTTTATTCAAATTATTTTGTGAGAGGATGTGGCGAGATTTTACTGATATTTTGATTTTGAATAGCTGCCGGTATTTTGACTGCAAATATGACATGTCAGCATTTTGTATCAGATTCGGTAATATGTTGTGTACACATATCTTTTTCCAAAACATTTTGTATACCAGGAAGTACGTGTAGACTGGTCCATGAAATTAAGGCGTGGAAAGGAATGCGTATGCCTAAGCACCTATTTGGTAGAAATTAAAATTAAGATTTTAATCCAAATCAAAGTCTAACAATTAATTTTAACTACACATTTTACAAGATCTACAACTTTTCAACCACATATTTCATCAATTTTTTTTTTTTTTTTTTTACAAAATCTACTAAAAGTCTGATTTTGATTCCAACCAAACAGAGGCTAAGATATTAGATCTCATTGTGACAGATGATGGTGAAAGCTTCATAAGCATACTATCTTTGACAGAGAAACAAGAATACTAAACATAGAAACAATTGCTGAGCATGTTATTTCTGAGCACTCTAACACATCCCTTTCAACGTCTAGGGATAGTTAATTCCTAATCATCAACCTTAGTAGCCAAGATATTGATGTCTAGGATATTGCTGGTAAGGGGTCAAAACCATTTCCGTACACGGGCCACATGCAACACAAATATGTAATATGGTCCTCGTCTGTTTAGGGATGACAAAAATACTAGTCAAATTTGACACCAACAGGGTGGGACGGGAATTACCTACTTAATCGTGTTGGGTATGGAACGGAAAATTTCCCCAAGGCGAGCGAGTATGGGGAACAGGGGCCCCGTTACGCCCTCGGGCACATTTAATTTTTTTTAAAGAATTCAATACTTTAAATGGAAAAATTTCATGAAATTTTATTAATTCTAATAGAAGAAGGCAACAAGGTTATATAAGAAATCTGATAAATAATAAAAACTTTAGTTTACCAAATATATTCGAATAATTTAATTTTTAAAAATAAATCATTTAATTAAAATTTTTAATAACTATATTATTGTCTCATTTGAATGAATAGGGGCAATAAGATGAATTATCAAAAACTTTATTGAAAAAAAAAAGGTTTAACCCCCCCCCCCCCCCCGCCCGCCCCACCGTCGCCGCTAACCCTACCTTTGGTGGAAGTCTCAAATTAATGAATATATGGTATGAAATTTTATATATTGTTTTTAAGAACTATTAGGCAATAACAATATCATATCTTATTTTAAAGGGTTTGCTGTCGATCCATAAAATACATAGAGTCACATGTATGGGGATCGGTCTAGTCCTATGACAAAATACAAAAAATCATTGCCACAAGAGGGCAAATGGAGAAAATAGTGAAAATCTAGAGGGCAATTAGCACATAATATTCTCACTTTTTACTGTTAATGTGAAAAAGTATATACCTTTTATTTTTTGACATTTTCACTCTTATTTCCACATTTCATTGCGCAAAATATCATTTTTACCTCAATTAAAAGCTGTGAAAATGATGAATTTACTATTCTTTTTTTCTTTTTTAAAAAAAAAAAAAAAAAAAAAAAACAAAAAAAAAAAAAAAAAAAAAAAAAAAAAAAAAAAAAAAAAAAAAAAAAAAAAAAAAATAATAAT